TTATTATATGTCTCAACTAAAATTATATGAAATTGCATAAACAACATAGTTTAAAAAAAGTGCTTGCTCATCTGTTGCTGATGAGGAAAGTACAATAACTCCACGGTGTTGTTTAATCATTGTACTGATTTTGTTTTGCAAGATGGCTAGAAAGATCAGCTGTGGTCTAACCAAATCAGAACAGCTTCTTTTACATATTTGCTGAGTTTTCATCATGTACTCAAATCATCAAACCTACATATAAAACCTGACTTCTTATGGGTTTTATATACTTTAACCATGACATTTACCCTGTATTACTCAGTACGCAATGACAAGGAACTGAATATTTAGTAGGCTCCAATATGCATGGATATTACTTCCTAAGAAAGTGGGCCACAAAAACATACTATATATATATATATATATATTTAATCCTGCAAAGTTAGTGATGTCCTTCAGACAGCGGATTCCTCGGATAGATTTATTTTTGATGTATTCTCTTAAGTAACAAACCTGACTGCATTAGTTAACAGCTGGGATCAAGCAGGACTATGTGATTGTTTTTGATCTGTCCACATGATCGGTTTCAATTGACTACCTATTTTGGTATAAACTTGATATTGTTTTGTGCCTTGAGACAATTATTATTTTGAGCTATAGAAATTAACTAAATTGTGTAATTGCTCGTTAGCAAACCTCTGCAGCATTCACAGATAAGCAGGCCAAAATACATCCTTACTGCAGTTTCTGAACCACTCACCATTATTTTTAATCATGTTGAGTTCGAAAACTGTTTTCCAAATCAACAGCAAAACCTGTTTTGTTTTTTTTACAGAATTTCACAAAATTTTTTTAAAATGAACTTAAATTGTTTTCTGAAACAACAGTACAGAACAGACCACGAGTGCATCACTATTTGTTTAGTTACACTGTGGCTACCAGAACTCCAAAATGTTGAAGCAATCATTTCATGAATTTCTTTGGAACTGAAAACCTTAATATCTCGCGTTATCAGATAATTCACTCTCATGAACTATCAGATAATTCACTCTCATGACTCGGTAATATTATATATGTTAGATTGGTCATATAACTATCATTTCACCATCTTGCATTATATATCAATTTTATTCATACAACATAGAAGCCTATTGACATATGTAACAAAACAGGCATGTTTAAATCCAACAGCAACCTCACTCATGGTGTTGCGATGCTAGTCGGCCAATGGGCTTTTATTGTTAAAATCTGCACCAGTGCTTCCTTATTATAGTTAATTTAATTAAGTGTTTTAAGTTGTGTTTAATTAGTACACAAATACAAGTAGTCTTTGCACTGGCTCCCTGTTCATTTTAGAATTGATTTTAAGATTGTATTGTTTGCGTCTAGGGCCCTGAATGGGATGGCTCCTCAATACATCACTGACCTCCTCAAGATTTATTCTCCGGCACGTGCTCTGAGGTCTGAGGGCCATCTTCAGTTAATAGTGCCTAAGACGAGGCTTAAAACCAGAGGGGACAGACCCTTTTCTGTAGTTGGCCCCAGACTTTGGAATACTTTGCTCCTCCATATATGACTGCCTCTACGGTGGACTGTTTTCAGTCTCGTCTTAAGACCCACTTTTACTCTTTGGCCTTTAACAACGTGTAGTTTGTGTGGTCCTCTGTGTCCTTTTTAGTAGATTTATTGTTGTATTGTGTTTATGTATTGTTGTGTTGTTGTTTATTATTTGTTATGTACAGCACAGACTTTTTTCTGTTGTTAAATGTGCTATATAAATAAAGTGGATTGGATTGAAATAAATCCGATAAATCCAGAGGTTTGAGTTAAATGTACTTAAACAACAGGAGTATGTTACACTAACTTACTCAACACATTTGAGCTATAGTTTCAACTACTAATGGATATTATGAATAGTCTAATTTTGATCTGTTCCATAATCGAACACACGGTGGTGCTGTGGAGTCAGCAATGCTGTAATTATGGGATCGAAGAAGAACAGTCAAGCCCGCTGATTGGACGGCTGTTTAAGTAAACAAAGCGGAAGATGAGCTCCACACTGAGGTGGTGAAAATACTCCCTCTTCACTCCGAAAACCGGAACGATTCGTTTTTTTTTTTTTTATCTTGGGTTTGTTACAAATCGTGATGAGATGTCATTGCTTATCCCGTTCACCCGCTGCTTGCTGACAGTAACCGGGCGGCTGGTGCGGAGATCTGCTCCGGGTCTCCCCTCGCTGACCCCGCCTGCGCCCTCATGGGTTGCGGCTGCTGGTAAGAAGGAGCTCCCGGATCTTCCGGTGGTCCCGGAGGAGGAGCTGGAGGAGCAGTTTGTGAGGGGATCTGGGCCTGGAGGTCAAGCTACTAACAAAACCAGCAACTGTGTGGTGCTCAAACACATCCCCACCGGGATTGTTGTGAAGGTACAGCTGGACCCCTGTATTTTCAAACAAATAACTGTTGTTTTTATCACGTATTTACATCAGCAAAAAACACTTTAAAGGCTCAGCTGTTGTAATCTGTCATTCAGGGTTTAATTTATCTATCTAGACAATACTATCACAATATTATCACTAACATCTGATAATTGTTAACTTAAGTGCACATTTACACCGTTTCCTAATCGCTAGTAAAACTAGTACAATGAAAGTATGCCTGTCCTTTCAGTCTTGTTGAATTTAATTTAAAAAAAAAGTTAATAATTAGGTATTTACCTTTTATATCAAAAGTATGTTTTTCCAAAGTAGGGACTTTGACATTGTTAGAGAAAATATATAAATGAAAAAAGGCATTTTTTTCTGTATATTGCCTGTATAAACATTAGAATGCAGATTCCTATTTAGCTACACAATATAGCTCTTGCTCCAGTCCTTTATAATAAAGAAGAACACCTATAAATTCCTTTTAACAAGCAAACTAGCACTTATATGTATTCCTATATCTACAGTGGATCTGCCTACCTCTAAATGTAGCAGAAATGTGTGATAGATAAGAATCAAAGGTTTTCAACAGAGCTGGTTTAAACTGTGAATTAATAGATTGTGTCTAATATTTTCTTTGCCATTGTAGAACTAAAACAGGTATATTCGTATTCTGAGGAAACGTGGAAGCTCTCCTTATGTCAGTAAAAAAGAACTTTCACCTTCTGTTCTAACCCTAGATTTATCATTATTATTATTATTTTCTTTTTTTAATATGAAGCTTCTAATAATACATTTTTATTAATTATGATTGCAATGTCACGTGCATTGTTATGAATAGTAGTGAGGTCCGGCTATCACAGATTGAGTGGAGGATTTCTGCATAAACAGCAGTTTGACTTTAATCAGAGTTCTAATTGACTAGTTTATATCTGCTGCTGCTGCTTTTATATTTATCTTTGCATAGAATATGCGATTAAGTTTTTTAGGTTTACTTATAAAAACTTATAGGA